TCCATATAGACCATAAAGTCCTAAACTATGGTTTACAATTTCGAATACATCGAAATGAATGGATAAACAATTGAATGTCGCGGACCTATACATTTCATCTAAAAATGAAAGAATGGTCATAATGGAGTACGACGCCTTAATCATTCATTCTAATAGGAAAGGACATTTAAATCAATCATTGATCATCATTTAGGCATTTTTTGAAAATGTGCCAACTAATTTGCAAAATTATAAAAGAAGGAAATGGAACGATACTTGCTTACCAAAATGTTTCGGTTTGGTTTTAGGTATACCAACCACAAAGACAAGCAAATGCAACTAGTGAGGTTTTGACGCCTAAAAGGGTAAGGTATTCTAAAGGCTCGAGGTCACCACCTTAATGAATAAGAGATTCCATCCCAATAGGCAATCATCCTAAAGTGAAAGAATATTATTCCATCTCGGTGATCGATATTGTATTTAAACGATCCCATGAGCAATCGGCTCACAGTTTCGCCTAAACACATACCTCATAAAGGTAGCCCTAAGTGTAGCCGGGGTTGGGCCACGGGTGGTGTGTGCCAATGGTGTAATGCTAAAACTATTTAAATGCACGCATAGCAATTTATAATCAAACAGCACTTCTAAAATAATCATTTCACATTCATTCTCGACACCATCCTGCAAAATAAAGGTTAACAAAGACTGCACCCCTTATACCTCCCGTCTGCAAAACCATTTAACACAATTATCAGCGGGACGTACCTGGGATCCTTGCAAGCACAAATCACAAGCGTATCATTCTGTCTAGGCCTAAGTCCACTTAGAAAGGTAACTCCCCAGCGGAGTCGCCAAGCCTGTCGCGCCACGCCTTTTTTTTTGGAATTTTCGGGGTTTGCGCGCTAAGGAGGTATTTCCGTGCAAGGGTCTCTCCCAGACCATACCTCACGTGACAGTGGATGGTAATTTCCTATTTGATCTAAGTTTTCGATTTTGGAGTCGCCACTAGTCATTATTGGTAGGTTGACTAGAAACCTAATCGGGGTATGGGAGAAATACCACAATTCTACGAACTAGAGATTTTGAGTATGGGGACTTGGTTACACTAATGATCCCGAATCGAGATCCCTAACGCCCTTTCGGTACCTAAGAATGATACGATGTCTAACGTGTCACACAAGTTTCTGAGACTTACCCACTAATCCTATCCATTCTAATTGCGGGAAAATCAATCAAGAATTAAATGCGCAATCAATGTCAATCAAATCAATCAATCCTAAATTGTCTCTAAAAATCAAAATGCACCCAAAAATATCCAAATCCTAATTAAGCCCTAAAAGCTTGTTCATTTCATGATTTGTGTCTTTTTAGGGTTTTAGGAATTTTTAGGGGTTATAACCTTGAATTTGAGATTTTCTAAAAATGCCACTTGGGCACTTCAAAAAATTCAAATTTCACTTTCTAAGGTTGGCTACAGACCATTCTGTGAATTTTTTGAATTTTTTGATTTTTTTTTGGAAATTGAATTTATAAGAATTTCATTAACCGAGAATTGATTTTTATGATTTTCTGAAATTTTTTTTTTGGATTTTCGAATTTTCCAATTTTTTTAGATTTTCTGAATATTTCACATTTTTTATTTTTATTTTTTGTATTTTTTGAATTTTCTGGATTTTTATGAATTTTCTAAAAAAATTTTGAATTTTTATAATTTTATGAAATTTTCCAAAAATTTCTAATTTTTTTTAGATTTTTCTGATTTTTTTATTGATTTTTTTTTATTTTTTAGGTTTTTTTTTTAATTTTTTATTATTTTCCCGCCAAGAAACGAACTGGACCGGCCCGGTTCAACCTGGTTTGGTTTGGCCGAACCGGGCCTCGCTGGCGTTGGTCGCCGGTTGTCTTCTCCAGCGAGAAATAGCGCCAAAATGGCGCCGTTTCTGGCCTGTTTCTCTTCGGCATTTTGCCGAACACCTGGTGGGCATGAATCATTCTATAAGGTTTTCAAGGCCGTGGCTTTGAGCCTTTCCCCGACGACCTTCCGGTGACATTTTGTCAATTTTGTTTGATCTATTATCAAGTTCATGTCATCTAGCATCAATCTAATCCAATCGGGATGCCGCCGGACGCCCGCCGGCCGGCGAAAAATCGACCTAAACAATCTAACTTGCAAACTTTTCTAACATAGCTATTCAAGTTCTCAAATCGCAACACAGAGTGCCCTAGCCATCTAAATCGGTTGTAACTACTAACAAAACATCAAACAAGGATCAAAGAAGTTTAACTTGAGTGGCCTAAGACTAAGGCGACTCTCCGGCGATGATGTCTGAACTCCGGCGAGGTGGTTTAATGCATGGCCAACTCGGTTTATGCATGTCCAATCATTCAAAGTATAAACAAGCAATAAAAATGTGATCAGAACACGTTTTAGGCATCTAGTATGACAAAATCGTGAAGAAAAATGCACAAACAAGCCAAATATGTATTCTGGAAATCTGTAAAAACCGAGGCAACAAATGATTTTTACCTGTTTCGTTCAACGATCAAACGACTTCTCCGAGCTGATTTGCTGCTACAGAGTCCTTCGACACCCAAGCTTCAAGTCGGTGATCTTGGAACCTCCGGAGGTGATCTGGACACGCCGACTGAGGCTCGTTTTTCAGGCGCCGGTGACCAGCTTTGAACCGATCGTCACAGGTGAGGATACTTACCTCTGGAGATCGATTCGCCGGCTTTTTTCCCGCCAGAAAAACGCCAATCACTCGGCCTCAGGAAGTATCAACTCTACCTTCTTTCCTTTTCTCTCTTTCTCGCTCTCGTTCTCTCTTCAGTTCTTTCTAGAATTTCGTCGAACAGTTCTCCTCCTCGGATAATGATTTTTTCTTCTCTTTGTAGCTCGATTTCCCACCCAAAGTTTGTTATTCACCGACCTTAAATCGGTTGGATCGAATCTCCGATGTCAGCCGGAGATTCTCCAGCTGGAATTAGAGTTTATCACGTGTTAAATTGCTTGGATTAAGTCGGCAAAGTCCCATGCCAGAGTAGATTTTCTGGGTTTATCGTGTCTTGGGCAAGTCGGGCAAAGAAGGAGACCGACCCGGGTTGGGTCGGGTTGACCCGGTCAACCGGGCAGACCCGGGTTGGTCTAAATTAGCAAATTAAGCTCGATTTTGACCCAATTTTCAAAATTAAACCCCAAAATTGAATTCCTCATCACATTTTGAACCCAAATATGTGATTTTCCCCAATCTTTGTCATTATCATGTCCAAGATTTTTAGCTTTTTATATTTGGGTTATTGGGGTTTTGTTCAATTCGATTCTCTAATGACCTAATTAGGAAAAATTGGTGTCGAAATTGAATTACCCACATCTAATTACCCCTAGAAATGATGGTCTCATGTTTCGACAATTTTGAATTGGGCACGATTCCCAATTTGGGCTCAAAATTCTGAATTTTCAATTGAATTTTGGGGATTTTTGATTTCTATGATAAATTGTACAATTGGACTGACCATTATGTAATTCAAGGTCCCAAAATCATTTATTGTGAAGACACTATGACTTAAAAATGACTAGAAAAGATCTAATTGCATTTTTGGTTCAATTCGGTTTGATTTTGCCCAATTTTGGAAAAAACACATGCCCGATTGAGATTTACAAAAATTGATGATGCACTAATGAAATTGGATTTAAAAAAAGACTAAGGACTATTTTTATGGGATTTTCTGATTCCATTTGCTATTTTTCTTGATTTTCTCACTCATTTTGACTAAAAGAAATTAAAGAAAAATTCAGGAAAATGCTAAAAAATAAATTTGGTTTAGAAATAGGTTTCTAGGCTTGGCCAAGATTCCTAATCCTAATTTTGAGATTTTTGAAAATATGAAAAAAAATGAGCTAAAAATCAGGTGTCAACACTCCTCCTTCTCACCTTTCATAGATTCAGTTTTCTGCAATGATGGCAATTGTCTTCTTTTGAAAGTTTTCTTTTTCTTTTTTCCCTAATGGAGGTCTTGTTGCCAATATTGTGCATATACTACATTTCTATAAGTTTATTTGAAAGTTGTTTCTTTCCACTTGAAGTTTTTGTGGCAGCAGGTTAGTTGTGTGTAGTAGTTCTTCATCAAATTCCCAGAACAACTAAACAAACAACAAACACACGAAGTATCAGATTGCCGGGGTTGTATGCCCTGCAATTTAGATGTCTTGCTTGTGTCATTTACTTATTGCTACATCATGAACGCATGACTCTGAGTACTTTTACTTTCTTGCCTTTGTTTCCTTGTTTGTTTAGGTAACTGACAATTTAGATTTGTGATGACAAATATGCAAATCAAAGATGCTTGATAAATGCAGATCAGATAAGATGCTTACTGGACTAGACACTTTACGAGCAACATTGCCCTCAAAGACTATAAGTTATGTATATCAGCCATTGCACAACATGATGATGCAGTTAATGGTACTGAGAGATAGCATGTTGCCGATGGCTACGCCAAGTGACTCTCTATAGGCTACACCGGCTGCCAGGTTCCATCTCTCCCCTACCACTGAGCCAGGGAGCAATGAGAACTCTAGTCAAATCATCTCTACGCTCCTTTGAAGAACAAGATCGATGAAGCTGACCTTTAACAAAGTACAAGAGAGAGAAATATTAGGTGTTTCGATAATTTCATGGGTGATATGTACTACACTTAGGGATGTGGGAGGGCTGTGATTGGTGGTTATAGGTGTAAACTCCTCTGTTGTCTCATTTTGTAATGCAAATATTAAAGTTCAATGAATCCAGTTGTTTAATGATGAGTTGATGATGGTTGCTTGTGTGCTGATATTGATGATGATGATGGTGGATCCATTGCCAACAAAGTGAGCATGGACAGAGTTTAAAACAGATTTCTTGAGCTCTGTACACACAAAATATATAACAACCGACATAAATGAAACCAAAGACAGCTTGTAGAACTAAAAAGCATCATCATTAACTCAACATCAAACACTTTTATTAATCGAATTTCAATATTTCCATTACAAAAAGAGACAAGAACATATAAGTTTACAGCTTTCATATGTGCGCACAACACTACAAGAAAGAGAAGACAACAAATGAGTTCACAAAACAACCTCCCACTGATCATATGCAATGATCATGGCCCACCCTACTACAACCAATCTAAAGCACCTGATAAAAGTTGGAAGACTTCACTACTGGGCTGATGAATTGACGTGATTATAGTTCTTCTAATTCCATCTCTTTGGTCCAGGCTGGCTATTCTGCTCATGGCATAATAGGATGTTGCGCTGTCGAGTCCACTGGTTGGTTCGTCAAGGAAGAGAAGCTTCGGGCAGGCGACAATTTCCAGGCAAATGCTAACTCTTCTCTTTTGACCACCACTTAGTCCTTTAATCCCCCGGCCTCCAATTCTTGTGTCCATGGCATCTAGCAGTCCCATTTACCTTATTGCCGTTTCTGCTCTTTCCCTCTTCTCGGATACTGGCATGGAGTCTGGCAGTTGTAGCTGAGTTGTGTAGTAAATAGCTTCTCTCATAGTTAGCGTTGTTAACAATACGTCATCTTGCATCACATAAGCCTGAATTCATAAGAATAGAGAACCCCAATGAGTGATGAGAATACAGTTCCTTATCATTCGCCATAGAATATAGGATCGCCTTAAAAAACAGGATAGTTGACTTAGGTTCAATTTTTTATGTGAAGTCACAAATTATTTCACAAAACCGGAGAAATGAAGGATTTGAGGATGGAAGAGAATTATTTTTAGATTATACACTTACTGAAGTTCCATAAGCCAGAGATTGCTTATGGCCGTTGACTAGAATGTCTCATATTTTCCTTGTGCTTGAGCTCAATCTACCAGTCATGTGAGCTCCAAAAGTCAAATGCACGTAATATTTAAGCCCCTTAGGCAGACAAGAGCGTGGCTTTGAAATTAAACTAAACTCACAAATCGAATGTTTTCTTTCAATAAGTTAACTACAGAGGTCCTCCCAGGTCAAAGTAACATCATTCCTTGGCTCTTTTGGTTCATCAAATATAAGTTTCGAGCTCAACCTCATGAACTCTGCTTTGATAGTCTCGAGTGGCAATTGTTGTATCCATTCCCATTTTCATCATCGCAGAAGCTGCTTCTATTTCCATGCTATTGCTGATTTCTGTGGAATGCATGGCCAAGTAAGTTGAAAGAAACAGATCTGTGAAAGACTATGAATCGTGACGACATGTTATGAAGGAAGGGTTTTATAAGTGAATGACATTGGACACTATTTAATGACCACGTTAATGTTTCGAGGATGTGCTGTGTTTCTCATTATTGAGAAGTAAAATATCGTGCAAACTCAGGCTAACGGAACCATGCGGCAGACAAGCTAAGTCTAGTCATTTACCAGAGATATGAGGCAATTAACCCTCAAGAGCATTTAGAGTTAACAGAGATGAAATTTTGGAAAGAAAGCTGTATCAGGGAACCATCTCAAAATAGGACAATGCATTATCCATAGAACATACTCAAAACAGATAGAAACCTATAAAAAGAATGCCTAAATTCGTTGTGCACAAGAGTTAGTCCTCCAACAGTTGGTTTCAGACTTGGATGAACGTGAATCTCCACCCAACCCTCTGAAGATGGAGCATGTCTCACCATATTTAACAAGAAATCAGCTAATACTTGTTGAATTCTCAGCTGATCACCATAGACAGCAAGAGTTTTGATTTAATCTAGAATATCACGAATCAATTGCAAACTTCTTTCTCTCAGCAATATCATTACTTGGTTAACAACAACTTTCATAAAACTTCCAAGAAAGAATTCGGCCTTCTCATTCTCCAATGATCTAGCAATCTGTGTATTGCTAACGGAAGTCAAATTTACCAGAAATACGAGACAGAAAATCCCTCCCGACCACGCTTTCAAGCATGGAAGATTTTCCAGAACTCTCAAATTCCAACAACAAAAAGCACACCATTTGATTAAAGAAAGCATCCGCAATAGAGATTGAGGAGCAGAATGCGACAAAAATGCGGTCTCCGTTACCTGGCTGCCGACCATTGCGACCGACGGAAGCGCCTCCCAGAGAGACAAGCCCTCGCCGCCGCAGTCGCCCAAGCGGTGCACGCGAACGACCAACTTGATGCTTGTTGACAACAAAACCTTGGAAAGAATAGATGACGTCGAACGATGGACTTAAAGCAGGCGAGGAGCAGGCGGTGCACCCCTCGCCTGCTCCTCGCCTGCTCACGAGGAGCAGGCGAGGAGCGGGCATCGACTTGGTTGAGGAGCAGCGAGGGAGAGGAAGATGAAAACGTAAACACTTAAAGCAATAACCTAAACAAAATTCAATTTGGGGATTTTCCTATTTTTTTTAGCCAATTACAAATTTCGGACAAAATTACCCCTATTTTAATCACCGGAAAATGTCCGCCGGTGAATATTTGACCGGCTGGCAAGCTGAGACCCTTATTTGAGATTTCTTCACCACTTCATGTCTTTTTTTGAGACACAGTTCATTTCGGATTCTTATTTGAAAAAATGAATCCACTTTGGATCCTCATTTGGAATTTTCCCATTAAAAAATATAAAAAGAACTTTTGTACCGGGCCTCACCCTAGCATTAGTGGGTCGAGGTTTTCTCAGTAACACAAATCCTCCAACCTTGCCCATTTTTCCTTCGAGCCTTGTAAGACCGATAGGGTTAGCAACCCGAGTTGTGTTCCTATGACGCCAACTTAAGACCATATTATTAAAAAGGGTAATTCGATTAAGACCCCTAAAATAGTTGTCTCACCAAATTAAACTTTAATATATATCTATTATCAAATGAGCCACATTTTGTCAATTCCTAAAAGATAACCAGCAACAAGCATAGCTTTTTTTTAGATGTAATTTAACTTTTGTGGCTTTGCTCATGAAATGATGTGATTAATAAGTAGGCATTATTATTTAAATGCAATCAAATATATAGAAAAAAAATCCATAAAATTACAAACTTAACTATTCTTTGTTTTTTGCTTAATTTATGGAAGAATTCGATGTTCATATTAGATTGCATAGAAACAGTTTATGAGTATAATACCTTACCAAAGTATAACAATGGCTGTTGTCAATATTTGTTACTATTAGTCACTAGTCGGGGGAGAACTCTATTAATAAAGCACTCACTTTTACGGGAAATACACATATGTACATGTTTGTTAAAGAAATTTCTGTCACCCGCACATTTGCTGAACTTACGGAAAGATACTCGTACTTTTTGAGTGAATGGAATTATACATCTTTAAAACACATGCCATATTATATTAAGGTAAAAGTACTACAATGAATTTATTTAATATCTTTTGTTTAGTCAATTGATGATGTAATATGTCAAAATCGTTAATGCCCAAATTATGATTATTTTATTTCATATTCACAGAAATAAATATAATTCTCTTGTAATTTCTTATTGAATAGCACGAATTAGTAACAAAATTCAGTTATTTGATGCTATTTTTTTTTATAAAGTCTTGTAACTTAAATAGTCCTATATAATATTTAAATTCTTCTTGTTTATAAAAGTTGATGTGTAATCATGATAACATCATCTTGCGATTCTATTGTAATAACGTTGAATTTTTATATGTGATTATAAGTAAAAGGACAATACATACCTGTTCATATTCCTAATCGTATAATTTTTGTCCCATATATTACTAACAGATGATAAGAATAAATAATGGATAATGAAATTATAAGTATTTAAATTTTTTTTGTTTTATAATCAAGTACCTAAACTTCTTTTTTGTTTAATCAAGTACTTGTGGAATTTGGCTCAAATTGAGACCTCCATTAAATAAATTGTCATGTTATGAATTTATGATAACATGGCTCGTTTACTTTGCTAAAGTTAAGCCGAATTGATGACATAACTCACTTGCTAAGCAAATATTATACCATCTTCAATTAGATGTTCAATCATGAGAGAGAGAGAGTGGGCTTCTATTGATGTGGTATCATTTTATGTAGGGGTGAGCAAGATGAACCGCTCAAATCGGGACCGGATCAGATTGGATCCACCGGTTTGGCCCGGTTCTCGGGAATATCAGTCCGGTTCCCGATTCCTAAAAGTGGAACTGGTTTCCGAGCGATCTTCTAAGGTAGAAACCGGACCGGACCGGACCAGACTAATAAATATATATTTTTCTAATTTTTCGTATATATAATATTTAATAAATATATGAAAAATATTTAATATTGGTCCCATTGGAACTGATTGTTCAATTTTTTCATATATTATATGTATTTTTTCAATTTTTTCCATGGCCTTATGTGATCAAATCAGAACTACAAAGGAAAGAACGGAACAATCGGTTCCTGATTCATAAATAATATTTAATATTGGTCCCATTGGAACTAGACCGGTCCACGGTCCCAAGACTAGTGGATCTAGTCCCCGGTCCTAGAAACTGGGAACCGATCCTCCCGGTTCTTGGGTTAGAACGGACCGGACCGGGAACCGCTCACCCCTAATTTTATGAGGTCACATTGGATGCCAATATGAAAAATTAATTGTTATTTACAAAGTTGAATAAACAAAAAAATATTTTTATCGTGCATGAAAATATTTAGACATGAATTATTGTTGGTAATGAAAATATTTTTCATTATAATTATTTTAAACGATACAAATGATCATTTTTTGAAAAATGTTTTTAAATCGTTCATCTTCCTCGAAACAAACAAAATCTTAGAATTTTAATTTGCATTCAAATGGGATTATATTGGTCATTGCACTTAAAATAACTGTCGTAATTGTTGACAATTTCACATATAACAAATAATATATTTTGAAAAAAAAACTAAATGCTTCAAGCTTTATTCTATGTTAGTGCTCAAAAGGATCAGGACAATCCACCTAAGGCAAATTATGTGACATCCTGAAAATTTGTCCATTTGGGATTTGTGAAATATTTGGTTTTATAAATGTACTCGTAGTTAGTTCTCGCCCGGAACTGATCATTCCTGGAATACTAACCATTAGGGAAAGCTGACTGGAGATTTAAATTCGTACGACTAAGAGAAAACTCGATCGTGAATTGACTTTCGACCATAAAATCGCCGAGGTGACATTTTGAGCCACTGTTGGGCGATCCAAGGATAGTCAGGGGTCAGTTCGCCACTGTTAGAGTAGTGGATCGCGGGTGATATCGTCAGACCATGAGATGAATTGACGAATGATCCTGAACCTATACCGAACGATCGTACTCCTCGGATCTAGTGATCGATCCTCGCGATTTAAATGACAACCGAAGTCGTCACGAATCGAATGAACTTGCATGTGACTCGATTTATTATCAGTCACAGGTCGAATATGCGAATTTCCCCAACAAGCCGCCCGTTAGTTCGAGAAACGCTCGAGTTGCGTTTAATAAAATTTAATTATTTAATTGAGCCCAAATCGGACACTGGAAAATTAGGAAGTCACAACTGGACGTTAGGATGACGTTGTGAATGGATCATGCAATTTTGGATTGTCCCGATTCCTTCGAAAAAATTCGATTTCGATGAGAAATGAAGAAAGTGACCATTTTACCCCCAAGGATTTATAAAGGGTTAGTTATAATGGGCAAGGGCATTTTGGTCATTTTGCCATAAATATTTGGTTGGATATATTTGCTCTTGAAATTTTATGAAATTCCCAAATTGCCTTTGGATATTTTGGGTAAGATTCGATCTCGGCCGTCGATTTCAAGATAAGATCGAATCTGGGCCGTTGATTGAAAAGATTAGACAAGGGCAAGATCGTAATTTGCTGTTTTGGTCAAATTGGACTATTTGAGTCAAGACTTTCTCTCTCTCCTCACTCCCCCTCTCTCTCTCCCTCACGGCAACACCCCCCACCCCCACCGTGGACTCTCCCTCTCTCCTTGCCGATCGCCGCCGAGCCATCACCGCCGGTCACCGCCGCCCGGACCGCCGCCGTACCACGCCACCGAGCCGCCCCCGACCCTCACGCCGTCCTCTCTCTCTCTCCCGATTCTCTCTCTCTTGGCCGTGAGCTGGTCGGCCAAGGAAGGCCGCCGCCGCTCGCTGTCCGCCCAAGCCGATCGTCGCCCACCGTGAGCCGCGCCGCCATTCGCCGCCACTTTCCGTTCTAGCCACGTTAGTCTAGAACTCGGTAAGTCGCAATCTAACCCTTGCCTAGGACATCGGGTATTATTGGACTCGTTTAGACGCGGTTTAGGGTAGTTTAGGGGTTGATTAGGGTGTTGATCGTGGTTGTTGGTGGCTGATTATGGCTGTTAATGGCTGTTGCATATTGGATTAGACGTCTGGGAATGAGTTTTGGCGGTTGAAATTCGGTAGAAATCAATTGGGGTTCGAATCCTTGAGGTTTGGTGTGATTCTCGGATTCGCGGTGACTGTACCCGTCCGGTTTGCTATTTTTGTGGAGAATTTTGCGGGCTGAATTTAAGGAAGTTTTCTTCATGAAAGTTTCTCTTAACATCTTGAAGTATGATATAATTTAATTTGAGAATTTTTGGAAATCATCGGAGGCCATTCGGAAGTCCATCTTTGGACCGAAATTAGTGTGCTGGAAACACTGTTCCTCCGACCTTCGGGTCTGTTCGAATTTTTATAAATTTTTCCAGACCCATTTTCAAAATACTTCCTTCACAAAACTTGTTGGGGACATTTGTGGCTATGACATATAAAAATTTCAAGGCTTTCCAAAGTGATTTGGGTACTGGATGAGATGCATTTTTATGGTCAAGTGACCTGACCGGACGGGTTGATTTTCATCTGACTTCAAGTGACAAAAAAAGGTGTTTACAGTTGAAACTGGGTTTCGAGTTCTTCACGGAAAATGTTTATCAAGATGTTTTACGCAACATATCCAAATTTCAGAATTTTTGAAGTTCGTTTACTATTTATTTTGATGGGATTTCGGTCACTGTGTAAACTGCCCAATTTTACCCGATTCTTTGAATGTTCGTTTTTATGAGCGGAATGGCGGGGGTGTCGGGGTTGAATAGTTGCTGCCTCGTGACCAGAATTTATGCTTGAATATGTGTTAGATGAGTTGATTTGAGGATGAAATGAGGATGTTTCGAGGCTGGAGTGAGACTGAATAGAGTGTCGGATGTTGTGGGATGGAATTGGCGAGCTTAGGGCTCGATTTAAGGACAAATGGTGTCGGT